TGCAGAGCAATGGCCTGGTGGGGTGCGTGGGGGGGATGGCTGGGGAGGGTGCAGGGCAATGGCCTGGGGGAGGGTGCGCGGGGGGATGGCCTGGAAGGGGCTGAGGGGGGGTGGCCGGGGAGGGTGCTGGGTAATGGCCGGTGGTGGCGGTGCGTGGGGTGGCCGTGGAGGGTGCAGAGCAATGGCCTGGGGGGGTGCGTGGGGGGGATGGCCAGGGAGGGTGCAGGGCAATGGCCTGGGGGCGGGGTGCATGGGGGGGTGACCGCGGAGGGTGCAGGGCAATGGCCGGGGGTGGGGGAGAGGAGCAGGGGGAATGGCTGCTGGCTGGGGAGTTTGCAGGGCAATGGCCTTGGAATGCACAGGGCGGCTGTTTTAATGACAGAACCAGGCTACATAGAGTTGTTTTTGGCAACCTCTAGATGGGTGGAGAAATTCCTAAACTTCAGTCTTAGGGTACGTCTTCACTAGCCGCCCTATCAGCGGATAGCAATCGATTTATCCGGGATCGATATATCGCGTCTCGTTAAGACGCGATATATTGATCCCCGAACGCTCTCACTGTCGACTCCGGAACTCCACCAGAGCGAGTGCCGGTAGCGCAGTCGACGGGGGAGCTGCGGCCGTTGATCCCGCGCCGTGTGGACCCCAGGTAATTCGATCCAAGATACTTCGACTTCAGCTATGCTATTCGCGTAGCTGAAGTTGCGTATCTTGGATCGATCCCCCCCCCAGTGTAGACCAGCCCTGCGGGTCTGCTGTACTTCCTGCAGCAGGCAGGGCACAGACAGGGGATGCCCAGCAGGGTATAAATAGCAGTGTAGACAGTGAAATGGTTTAGGCAAGTAAAGTGCCCTATGTTCCTAACTCCCATGGGTGTGTAGCTTACACACATCATTACATGCCCAAGCAGTGCCTATCACATCTACACTACAGTTTTTGGCAGTGTAGTGTCCACAGTGTTGTGTCCCTGCTGCCAGAGCTTTTCCATGCCTAGAGTGACCGTCCCCAGCTGTGGGGAAAGGCTCTGTCAGTGGGGAACTGTTGGAGCCTTTCCCCTGCTGCCAGAGCCTTTCCCCAGTACCTCCCTGCTGTCAGAGCCTTTCACTTTGGTATGTAGGTATGTGCTGCAGTGACAAGTGTGGGCGCAGCCTAACTTCCACCGCGGCATGTAGCTACGCATCTAGTGTCTGTGCTCTTCATGTGGACATTGTTAATCCATGAAATATTTTGTGCATTTTGAACTTAATTTATGATCTTGAGATACATGTGAGAAATTATTATTATTTGATAACTGTTAAAATAAGACTCTTGTACATTGCCATGTTTCTGGAAAGACAAGGGCAATTCTTGGTGAACGGAGCCCGACACCATAAGAAATGGCAGTTCCTTTTGCAGAGTGGGTAGGTGTCTGGCTCCGAAGAGAATCTTGGCATTCCCTGGCAGGAATGCTGGCACACTGCAGAGTTTGGAGTGGGTTAAAATTGGAGAAAATGAGGATTATACTCAAAGTTCCCTCAGGGACATGAAGGCCACGCATTTTTCATTCCCATAATGAAATAAATATAATTTTGTACATATACAAAGGTTTTGTTTTGATTCATTATTCCTGACTGTAGCTTTTAAGATGTTTCTAGATTTGCTAGCAGGAGTTGTCTTATTTTATAAACGTGCTATTTTTGTAGACTAAAAACTGCCCCTCTTATTTTCTAGGCAATTTTTGTTTAGTTAACGAAAAGAAACGTAGATGATGTTGGAAATTTGGAACATCTGATCTTTTCTTTTTCTTTATGTAATTTCATGATACAAGAAGCAACTCCTTCAAAGATTACTGAAGTGCTCTTTATTTATTTGTATATTTTCCATTATATTCCAACTACAGTAAATAGGAGAGCCATTGCTGTGGGCCATTGAAATTGCTGTTCCACAAAAAAAATACTTTGTTCCTCCAGAGGAGGCCTTACTGGTCAGGAGAGCATTACACCATTTTTATCCAATTTTTTTAAAGGTCATAGGATATCAGGGTTGGAAGGGACCTCAGGAGGTCATCTAGTCCAACCCCCTGCTCAAAGGAGGACCAATCCCCAACTATTTTTTTTTGCCCCAGATCCCTAAATGGCCCCCTCAAGGATTGAACTCACAACCCTGGGTTTAGCAGGCCAATGCTCAAACCACTCAAGAAACTACTAATTGCAACATGTAACCATGTAGTGGTTTCAGCATTGCATTTAATTTTGATAAGGGAGGCAAGCTTTTAAAAGTATTCATGATGTTTGTTTACAGTTTTGTTCACTTGGATAGTCACACCTCCTTTTTTTGTGAGATGTTGGGAACCATATAATCTTATTCCAGTGTACTTCAATACAAGCCGTATTCTTCAAGAGACTTCATTCAAAACTAATGTAGGACAACAGTGAACAGTCAGAATTTGAGTTCACTTTGCACTGATGAGAACAGAAGTTTCTTAAAATCAATGTTGGTGCCTGTTTTAATGGAATAATATAGCATCTGTTCCATCAGCAATGCAAAAAGCCAGAAACCCATAGTCTAAATGCCAGTAATTATAAACACAGGTGGAACAGTAAAATTAAATTAGTTTTTGTATTGCAAACCTTGTGACTAATTTTGTTGATATCTAGGATGGAGAAAGTGTACCTACTGAGGAAAATACATATGACCCAGATGCTCCATCTACATCTGGAAAAGGATCTGGTAAATCCCGGAGTCACAGTGAAACAGAAGGTATGTGTCAGTATGCTGGCTTAAGTGAAGAAATGTAAAAATCACAGTATTTTGTTGCTGAAACCATGTGTTCTTTGATAGGTTACTGTCAAGGCTGATTCTCCACTCTGGCACTTCGAATGCAGAAGGTGGGGGCCCGCAAGGACTCTAAAAATTAATACTGGCCACTCCAGGCTTGTATTAAACCCCCAAGGTTACAGCTTCTCTCTGACCTTGGATGGGTAGATGCTGTCACCACCCAAATGCAAAAAACCCTTTTTACCCAGGAAGGCGCACTTGGGAATTCCTCCCTGTGGGGTACCCTCAAGCCCTTTCAAATCCCCTTCGGGGAAGAGCTGAGAAAGAAAACAAAGGAAATCAGCTGTTACCACCAGCTAATTAAACAACATGTGCACAAACCTCTTAGGACACAAAAAACCAATCCTGTTCTTAAAAAAGGTAAACTTTATTAAAAACAAAAAGAAAGAAAATACATCTGGAACTTAGGCTATTGCTAGATTTAAAAAGAGCAAATATAATAATTAAGCATCAAGAATGGTTTTCTTGAGGTCCAGCTTAAAGGTTACAAGCAAAACAAAAGCACCTGGGGTTAGCACAGAGGAGTCCACAAGCCAATAAGGGGGGGGGGGGGAGAAGAGATAAACCTAATTGCGTCTTTCTAGACATTTTCTGATCTACTTACATATCTGGGGTTTCAAATTGAGTAGTTTTAGGTATGATCTGATGATTTCCATACCTGGTCCACAGCTTTTTACAGCATAGCTTCAGCCCTGTTTTGCTCTGTCCCCTCTCTCCGGAGAACAACAGACAGACAAAAGGGGAGCCTTGTTTCAATTTTTAAAAGTTGTAGCCTTCCCATTGGCTCTTTTGGCCAGATATCCACTCACTTCCCTTTACCTATGCATGCAGTCATAGGTAAAGTAGAGAGCCGCTACTAACAGGGATTTTATAGCTAAGAGGCTGGCTGGGTGTCCATAAAAGTTAGCCCTCCACCCGCCTTCATTTATCACAGTGACTTTTAAAAACAGTTTACAGCTTGTTCAATTAGAGAATGTATGTATGAAATGTTTGTTCTCCATCATATCCAAGCTTCCCATTGCACTGGTGGGTGCCCTGTATCTCCAAGAGGCAGGCTCAGTCAATCATAGGGAGGAACTGGGGGGAACTATGGGCGGGGGAGGGGGTCAGCAACCTCAGTTGCAATTCCATCCGTACTACCAGCAGTATTTTAGACCTGACTTAAACACCAACACACACTGGATATGTCTACACTACGGGATTAATCCGAATTTAGATAATTCGAATTTGGGAAACAGGTTGTATAAATTCGATTGTGCGCGGCCACACTAAGCACATTAATTCGGTTTTTAACCACATTAATTCGGTGGTGTGCGGCCACACTAACCCTAATTCGAATTAACAAAATCGATTTTGGCGCTACTCCGCTCGTCGAGGTGGAGTACAGAAATCGATTTTAAGTGCCCTTTAATTCGAATTAACTGGCTCTGTAGTGTGGACGGGTGAAGGGTTAATTCGGATTAACGCAGCTAAATCCGAATTAAAGTCGTAGTGTAGACCAGGCCACTGATTCATCAGGATGTATTGTAAATCTATTCTGACTCTCTTCAACCAGGAGAAACGACAGATGGGGTCAGTAAATCTGTCCATCGGGTCTTCGCTTCCATGCTTGGGGAAAATGAAGATGAGGAGGAGGAAGAAGAGGAGGAAGAGGAGGAGGAAGATGAAGAAACCCCTGAGCAACCCACAGCAGGAGATGTTTTTGTATTGGAGATGGTACTTAATCGAGAGACCAAGAAAATGATGAAAGTAAGTATTTGCATTTAAAAATCTTCATGTAGTCTGCATGATACCACTGAAGCACAGTGAGTACATGTTTTCTGTAGCATCATTTTAGAGACATGATGTTAATATTTGAAAACTTAACTGAAAATGTTATACATGATGTCTCCTGATCCCTTTTAACTGTTTGATTTGTTTACATATCTGTATATTTTAAAAGATTCCTGCTGGTTCCTGAGTCGGTTTGTTGACTGTGCTTTATATAAGCTTCCTTCAGCTGTCATTGAGATCTGTCATGCTTGGGTTTTGAGCTTCATGTGCATTTACCATCGTCAAGTTTTGGTTTAACTGAACTGTTTTTGTTGCAGTAAGATTTCACCTAAGTCACAAATTCAGCTGCAGAGTCCTCCTCTTTTATCCCAGCGTGGGGCTGCTCATAAAAAGGCACTTGGTTAAAGAATAGGGGAGTAATTTTTAGTTTTTCTATAATTAGATTTTAAACTTTTATAAATGGATGTTTACACAGTGAGCCACCAAAATGAGTTCTGACAGTTGCATCAGCACCCCCAGTGGTACTGAAACAAATTTAAAATATTTTATATTTGTTTAACAAAAATTACAGATGTGATTGATTCCTCTTGAATTTGGGCATAATAGAATAGGGATGGCATTTGAGCAGTCCAAAAATAATCGGACAATTGACCAGTCAAGTAAAGCCAAAAATGGTCAAATATTTTAGAGCACTAATTTATTAGAACAGTAACCAAAAAGAGTAAGGCTTTATGATCTTCAGTAGGCTTAGCCTTAGATGCTTATGCCTAATTACAACAACCAAGTTACTTAACAGTTATTTTAACTCCCAAAAATGCAAAACACAATGAAATGAGGTTATAAAAAAAGAGAGAATGACACCGTGATGTAATCTAAAAGGTAGGCCACCGCCTACATCAGGGCATTCTTGCTAGAATATTTGACAATGTTTGACCCTGGTGAAATAATAGGCGGTCAATTTGATATTGTTTTACTGGTCAGTTGATCAGCTTACCAAACCTATTGTATATTTATATTTGTTTCTATTATAATCTTTCAATTTAGGAGAAAAGGCCTCGTAGTAAACTTCCTCGAGCCCTCAGAGGCCTCATGGGAGAAGCCAACATTAGGTTTGCTCGAGGGGAACACGAGGAGGCTATACTGATGTGCATGGAAATCATAAGACAAGGTATTTCAATATTTCGTGGGAATGTGTGAGCCATCAAAAGGAATAAGATTTATGTGGAATTTATAGTATTCATCAAGGAAACTAAAAATTAACTGTTGCTTCATTTAATATCAGATACTGCAGCATCAGGAACTGGTCTATTTGTAAATGGTTCTAATAGCAAATTAATGATATGAATACTCCTAGCTCATCTTTAAGCGCGCTCTCTCTCTCTCTCTCTCTCTCTGTTGTTGTTTGTAAAAAGAAATTAAGACCCTTTTCCTGCGAAGACTTATGCCCTTGCCTAGCTTTAAGTACTTAAGTGCCATTAACTTTGCAGAATTGGGGTCTAAATGGCTTGTAGAAATAGTTTGCTGTATGGATAAAATACTATATAAGGTTGTAGTAAAGTTTAGTCAATTTGTTTAATTACACATAAGATAAACTGGGAGATTGAACGTTTCTTCTTTGTTTTAACAAATTAATTGAATATTTCATATACTTCTAATGTGCATTATTTTCAGAAGCCTAAATTATTTTATTTCAGGTTGGTTAAAAAGTTTAAAACGTAATGAGTATTTTTGTCTTTAATAGCTCCTCTTGCTTATGAGCCATTTTCTACTCTTGCCATGATCTATGAGGACCAAGGTGATATGGAGAAATCATTGCAATTTGAGTTGATTGCAGCTCATTTAAACCCTAGTGACACTGAGGAGTGGGTTAGACTGGCAGAAATGTCACTAGAGCAGGACAATATTAAACAGGCCATATTTTGCTATTCAAAAGGTAATGTAATGACTGTTTTACTATTCCTTTGTACTTGTGGTAATTTTATTTGATAATGTAATGATATAATCATTTGCTTTGCTTTAGCTATCCCGTTCAGTTTTCTGTTCACTGAGATTGTGGTAACATTGTTTAAAACTGATTTGAACTTTGTGTGTAGGCATATCTCATTCTATGAGGTCTGAGAGTTTTTTCTTCGTACTAAAAGTGTGTGGGAGCATTAAAAATCTATGGATGATCAAGCAACCCCTTTTGCTGTGTTTTGGGAGAAGATAAACATAATAAACTTATATATTTGAAAGCGTTACATTAGTAGCTAATGTACATACTAGATAAGTTTATTGGATTTGGAGTGTTATAGGAGACCTTTCCTCAGGCTGCAAATATTGTTTTCTGTACTATTTTTCTTATCTTCTAAGATGATACTGACACTTGTCACAGGCTTTATCATATCTGAATTCTTTGCTTCAGTCTTCACGGCTGAGGATGTTAGGGAGATTCCCAAACCTGAGCCGTCCTTTGTAGGTGACAAATCTGAGGAATTGTCATAGATTGAAGTGTCATTAGAAGAGGTTTTGGAATTAATTGATAAACTTAACTGTAACAAGTCACCGGGACCAGATGGCATTCACCCAAGAGGTCTGAAAGAACTCAAATGTGAAATTGCAGAACTACTAACTATGGTTTGTAACCTGTCCTTTAAATCGGCTTCTGTACTCAGTGACTGCAAGATAGCTAATGTAACGCCAATATTTAAAAAGGGCTCTAGAGGTAATCCTGGCAATTACAGACTGGTAAGTCTAACGTCAGTACAGGGCAAATTAGTTGAAACAATCGTAAGGAATAAAATTGTCAGACACATAGAAGAACATAAATTGTTGGGCAAAAATCAACATGGTTTCTGTAAAGGGAAATCATGTCTTACTAATCTATTAGAGTTCTTTGAAGGGGTCAACAAACATGTGGACAAGGGGGATCCAGTGGACATAGTGTACTTAGATTTCCAGAAAGCCTTTGACAAGGTCCCTCACCAAAGGCTCGTAAGTAAATTAAGTTGTCATGGGATAAGAGGGAAGATCCTTTCATGGATTGAGAACTGGTTAAAAGACAGGGAACAAAGGGTAGGAATAAATGGTAAATTTTCAGAATGGAGAGGGGTTCCCCTAGTGGTGTTCCCCAAGGGTCAGTCCTAGGACCAATCCTATTCAACTTATTCATAAGTTATCTGGAGAAAGGGGTAAAAAGTGAGGTGTCAAAGTTTGCAGATGATACTAAACTGCTCAAGATAGTTAAGACCAAAGCAGACTGTGAAGAGCTTCAAAAAGATCTCACAAAACTAAGTGATTGGGCAACAAAATGGCAAATGAAATTTAATGTGGATAAATGTAAACTAATGCACATTGGGAAAAATAACCCCAACTATACATACAATATGATGGGGGCTAATTTAGCTACAACTAATCAGGAAAAAGATCTTGGAGTCATTGTGGATAGTTCTCTGAAGATGTCCACGCAGTGTGCAGCGGCAGTCAAAAAAGCAAACAGGATGTTAGGAATCATTAAAAAGGGAATAGAGAATAAGACGGAGAATATCTTATTGCCCTTCTATAAATCCATGGTACGCCCACATCTTGAATACTGCGTACAGATGTGGTCTTCTCATCTCAAAAAAGATATACTGGCATTAGAAAAGGTTCAGAGAAGGGCAACTAAAATGATTAGGGGTTTGGAACTGGTCCCATATGAGGAGAGATTAAAGAGGCTAGGACTTTTCAGCTTGGAAAAGAGGAGACTAAGGGGGGATATGATAGAGGTATATAAAATCATGAGTGATGTGGAGAAAGTGAATAAGGAAAAGTTATTTACTTGTTCCCATAATATAAGAACTAGGGGCCACCAAATGAAATTGATGGGCAGCAGGTTTAAAACAAATAAAAGGAAGTTCTTCACACAGCGCACAGTCAACTTGTGGAAGTCCTTGCCTGAAGAGGTTGTGAAGTCTAGGACTATAACAGGGTTTAAAAGAGAACTGGATAAATTCATGGAGGTTAAGTCCATTAATGGCTATTAGCCAGGATGGGTAAGGAATGGTGTTCCTAGCCTCTGTTTGTCAGAAGGTGGTGATGGACGGCAGGAGAGAGATCACTTGATCATTACCTGTTAGGTTCACTCCCTCTGGGGCACCTGGCATTGGCCACTGTCGGTAGACAGGATACTCGGCTGGATGGACCTTTGGTCTGACCCAGTATGGCCATTTTTATGTTCTTATTATGTTCTTATGTATCATTCAGGTGGATAGTCAAGCAAGCATAGTGAGCCCAGACTTGCATTTGTCTAAGCCAAGTACTGACTACTTGTTGTTGTTGTCGTAGCTCTGAAGTATGACCCTACCAATGTGCGTTATCTGTGGGAGAGATCAAGCTTGTATGAGCAGATGGGAGACCATAAAATGGCAATGGATGGCTATAGACGAATCTTAAATCTTCTGTCCCCTTTTGATGGAGAACGCTTTATGCAGTTGGCCAGGGACATGGCGAAGTAAGTTCATTTGCCAATAGCATGACTTGATTTTCCAAGATTGAAAGAAAACTGATTAATTTAAGCTTATTCCCTTTGCCCTTTAGAAAAATCATTGGGAATTTCTTCTTGTGACTTCTTCAGCCTTTAAAATAATGCTCTTTCTGTAGAACCTAGTTTGTTCAGGAGCCATGCCAGAAATCAGGGACTGAAGCCTTTTCTGGACAGTATTACATATCCAATAATTAGCACTGAAATCAACTGTTTGATTTATTCAGCAAGTCAGTTACTGCTCTGTACCTCAGTTTTCTCATCTGCAAAACACGCTAAGAATAACTTACTTCATCTCACAGAGGCCCAACGAGGCTACTTCTTTAATAATTTAAAGCTCTTTGAGATCCGTGGATGGGAGATGGTGTAAATATGCAAATTAGTGTTATAACCCTATTAGAGTTTCAGCTGAGAGTATCTTAATACAATAAAGCCTGCAAACTTGGTTACTGGGGGCAAGGGGGGAAGCAGGAGAAAGCATTTTATTGGGTTTTTAAAAAGTTAACATGTAAGAGAAAAACTAATGATAAAAATCAGTTAGTCAAATGGTAAAAAATTGTCACAAAGTTGAAAAATCTGTCCCTTTTCACTTAAAAAAAATTGACTTGCTCTAATAAAAATTCTCATAAGGAGGAGAAGACAAATGAAGAGAACAAGGGAACATGTTCAATATCTGTACTTTTTTTGGTGAATCTCTTAGTTGACTAGTTTTCATAATATGCGTAGCATTGAAAATTGTCACTAATATCTCATACCCATATTTTTGTAGGAGTTACTATGAAGCCAATGATGTCACTTCTGCTATTGAGATAATGGAAGAAGCCTTTACTAAACATCAGAGCCTCATCTCCATGGAAGATATAAATATAGCAGCTGAACTGTATATCTCCAACAAACAGTATGACAAAGCTATGGCGGTATGAGAATGAAATGCTTTTGTGTCAGGTTTAACAGTTTTGTGCCCTTTAGAAGGACAGATTTTATCTTGATGTTATTAAGCAATATAGTTTTTCCAGTTTTGTGATAGTTCAGCAAGTCAGATACGTTAATATTCATTACTCCAGTGTGTCAGTAAATTAGCATTGAAATCAAGTTTGATTTATTTGGTAAGAGGCAACAGAAGATTTGTATGTTGTTTCTTGGGGAAGGTTTTAAAAATGTGATTTTCTTCTCCTTAGATGTATTGATCTGGGTAGCCTGATGAAGCCAATGAGTCGTGATCGGTGTGTCTGTGACACATCAGCACAGATCATTCATAGTTTAGGGCAAGAAGGGACCATTAGATCATCTTTATGACCTATAATACATTATAGGTCATTACACCCAGTTACCCTTGTGTTGAGCCCAATAAGTTATGCTTTAGCCAAGCACATCTCCCAGAAAGAGAGACAGATTCGATCCGAAGACCTCGCAAGATGAAGAGTACACCACTCCCCTTGATAGTTTGTTCAAATGGTTAATCACTCACTGTTAAAAATTTGTGCCTTATTTCTAATTTGAATATGTTAGGCTTCAGCTTCACACCATTGGTTCTTGTTATGCCTTTCCCCGCTAGATGAAAGAGCCCGTTCGTACCTGTTATTTTTTTCCCCATGAAGGTATTTAAACACTGTAATCAAGGCACCTCTTCTTTTTGGTAAGCTAAACAGATTGAGCACGTCTCTGTCTTTGACTGGTAAGGCATTTTCTCCAGCCCTTCAGTCATTTTTGTGGCTCTTCAACTTCTCTGGTTTTTCAAGATTCTTTTTAAAATGTGGAAACCAGAATTTTACCCCTAATACCAGTATCAGTCTATGCCATAAGCAGAGGTGAAATCACCTTCCTGCTCCTACTCACTACTTCTCTATGGAAGTCTAAATATTTTACATCAAGACAGTCTCTGTATTAAGATGTGGTCCAGACTCTGGAAAGAAAAAATTGAAAAACCCTGTATTAACTACTTTTTGCATGGGTTACTCTGGCAATGACCACGTTGTGAAGCTGTTTACTTAAACCAGTTATTGTATGGGGCTGATTTTATAGTTTCTAACAGGACATGAATTGCTCTTCCATTTTTAGGTTATTACGGATTTTTCAGGAATTGTAGTTTCAAAGAAAGTGACTGAACGAGGCTCTTCTGAGGAGAATAAAGGTAACTGGCAAACAAGCAGCTAGTAGGATGCCATTGTCAGTGTAATATACCATCTCCCTTGTAGTGCATGTTCTTTTGAGCTATTCAGTACTTCTAGATTTTTCTTGAAAAGCTCTTCATTGTTGTATTGAGTGACACATGGTCTATTAAACTTTTTATAGTAAATTAATTTTGCCCATAAAAGCCAGTTGGCCACTTTGATGTGGTGACTCATTAAACCCATGGGCTGTTGCTGTCTAGGGTATAATATAATAGGTGGCTAGTTAAATTGCTAAAACTCCCACTGAGGTTTTCAGATCAGATGATTTACTTCTCTTAGATAAATAGCTTTTGAAAAACACTAATTTAATAGCATCTTGACTCAAATATCTGTCTTTATACTAAATGAGATAAAACTAATTATGTTCTTTATAAACCCTACCTGTGCAATTACAAATTCAAGTCTTTTGGTTTATGCAGATGTATAAATACTAGTTTGGGATCATAAATTTGCTTCCACATGAAAGCCATTGCTTGGTTCTGAAAATGTTTGTCTGCCGTGCTTTTAAATGGTTTGTCAAGCTGAAAAAAGATTTAAAAATAAATAAATAAATAAATAAGCTAGCCCAGGCCAGTAATATTTGTCTGTGGCTGACCAGTTGGTTTAGCAGTGAAGTCCAAACCCAGTGCAAATACACCTCTACCCCGATATAACACGAATTCGGATATAACGCGGTAAAGCAGCGCTCCAGGGAGGCGGGGCTGCACACTCCAGCAGATCAAAGCAAGTTCAATATAACGCGGTTTCACCTATAATGCGGTAAGATTTTTTGGCTCCCGAGGACAGCGTTATATCGGGGTAGAGGTGTATAAGAGCTGGTCCTGCACTCCCTTTTCAGGCAAAACTCCTGAAAAATCTTCTCATTACTAAACATAAATAAGGAGCAAAACTATTATGAATCAAAAAATAAATGCAGTTTATTATGTCATGCCAAATCACATAGCTATTAGGACAAACCTATACAATCTGCTAGGAGCTTACTTTCCCTTTTTCCCCTCTCTACTTTTTAAAGCCCTTGTCACTGTGCTATCTTTTAAAAACATGGCCTATTTTTCAGTAGTTAACAAAAAGCTACTAATCAAATGTAGACACCAAATTAAATAGTTTTGGATTCATTGAAAACTGCTAATGAGTTTAATCTGATTTTTTGTTTCCTGTTAGACATGAAAGATGTAGTGGCTGTCGTGGAAATTCAGGAGAGTCAAGTGGCCGTGATTGACTATCAAGATTTTCCAGCTGAATCCAGCACTGTTTGTAAGCAATTTAATTCTGAATTTAGTGTAAATGTGAAACCTGATCATGGTCAGTATTCAGCTTTTGAAAGTCTGGGCAACAGTGAAGGTTTTTGACAGGAGGGATGTTGGATTTAGTCTAGAAAAGACTCTTAATCTGCCTTTTTTCCTTGGTTGAAAATTACTGCCTCCTACCCTGTCTACCTTCACATTTTAAAAACACCCAGTTTCCAGAAATTATCCACTTTGAAACTGCTGTTTTCTGATGATTTTAAAACATTTATCAGCAACTGAATAATGATAATTATTATACTTGGCATATCTGGAGTCCTTTATTTGTTCAAAGAAATGTACAGACATTGACTAATCCTCACAACTGTGACTTATAGGTCCTGGAAGTGTGTATTAGAAGTGAAATGGAGTTTATTGTAGACCTGAGGAGTCTGTGAATGTATTTGCGGTTCATGTTGATTGATGGTGAGGCATGTTAGGTTGATCCAGATTTGGTGAGTTCCTTGACATTTAGTGATTGCATTTACAGGAAGTACATTTGAGCAACCGTAACCCCAAATCAATGAACTTTTAGTGTGGGATTTCTATACGATTTAGTAGTTAATTAACAAGAGTAACCTCTTTGACATGTACAGCACACTTGCCATTCTCTCCTTATTGCAGTCTTTGTAGGTATTACTTAGAGAGTTCTGTAGGTATGTGCTGTGTGTGTTACAAAATGCAGAAAGAGTTAGTCCCTGTTCTTATAGGGCTTGTGGTCTAATGTGGAAAAGTAGCATATGCGGGACTACAGTTCACTTAATAGTAAAGGAGCTGGGGACACTGATGGGTAGGTCAGTATAGGAAGGCTTTGTGAAAGAAGAGAGTTTGAAGGAGGAGAGGGAGGACACTAAGGACTCTGGTGCTGAGTATATCCTGCAAGGTGCAGAGCACCTTCAACTACTGCTGAAGTCAGTAAAAATTGATGGCACTTCGTAGGATCAGGTGCTTAGGTCATGGGGAGCAGGAAGTTGCTTCAAACATCAGGGAAAGCAAGAAAGAAGTGAATCAGTTAGGACCTGATCTAACACTAATTGAACCAATAGAAAGATTTCCATTGACTTTTGTGGAGCTGAATCAGGACCAGAGAAGAGGGTGCGGAGAAGTGTAATGAGTAAGAGAGTATAATAGAAAGGTGTTGAGGACGTGGTGTCATTGTTAAAAGCTGTTGTTTCAGAACTAAGTGTTGTCTTTTGTAGCTGAAGATAAAGTTAGCTGCTCTATACCTGATGGAGTTCCAATAGACATCACAGTAAAACTAATGGTGTGCCTGGTTCACCTGAACATCCTAGAGCCACTCAATGTAAGTAAAAACTAATACATAGATAAAATGGGGGTAATTTTGGTAAATCATGTAATGTGTTGTTCTCACTTTTTCATGAGTGAGGACTTAAATTTGACAGTATGTTTTTTTTACTGTTCATTTTTAAAAATGGCCACAAAGCTAGGAAGGTCGTCACAAGCACTACAGGAGGCATGTAGGATGGATTTTAAAAATCATAATTATAATATAATCTCAAGACCTCTCACACACCATCCTGATGGAGCTTTTACAAGGGTATTTGGATGTGAAGTTTGCCTTTCCTCTATCAGAGCCAAAATAACATTGTTCTTTTAGGAACCTATCCTGAAATACTAATCTCATTTTTTCCCTTTGAAATCACATAAAAATGAAGGGTTCAAGTTTCAGGATGGACCACCTATGCACATTGTTTCAGATGTTGAATAGAAAATGTAAATATTCCATTGCTTTCCAATATAAAATGGGTTAGCACAGTAATTGTTTATGTATGTGGCTGGTCTTAGTATTTCATTTTTACTTGTTTTTTTTTTTTTTTATTATTATTTTGGGGGGAAGCCTCTTTTGACTACTCTAGTGGAGCAAAATCCAGAGGATATGGGGGACTTGTACCTGGATGTTGCAGAGGCGTTTCTGGATGTTGGAGAATACAATTCAGCACTACCACTGTTGAGTGCCCTAGTTTGTTCTGAAAGATATAACTTGGCTGTAGTTTGGCTCCGGCATGCAGGTAATGACATTGCAATACTGCTTAACACTTCTGACTGAAGAGTAGAAACTCATTTCCATATGATGCTAATAACATTCTGGTGACATTAGTGCTTTAAAGGCCTGAAACTGATAGGTGCTTTTGCAGTGCTGACCACCATCATGTCCCATTGACCTCTTAGGCCATTAGTTAAGAATGTCTGAACATTGGATAGAAAGTTCATATGATAAATTGTCAGAAGTGTCTACCATACTGTAGTTATGATTAGAGAATATCACATTTATCCTTGTGGTGGAAGGTTTTCTTTTATGGAGGTCTCCTTCAAGTGTGTCCAAAAATGTTCAGATTGATTGAAACAATTTCAACATAAATATTTAGTCTTAACAATGAAGACCGTTGTTCAACTTAACAGTGTTTTTTCTTTTAAGATTCTGCAGGTTAAAAGACACTGTTATTCCTCAGGTACAAGATACTGTATTGTGTGTTCCTATTTTAATAATATGTGCTCAGTGTAGTTCTATCTGTAGAGCACAACAAAAGCTGTGTGTGATACAGAACTAGTCTGGTTTGTATGAAAATAGGCACAGTCTCACTTCTGTAATATAAGCATATTGTATTTGTTGATGTTTATTTCTAGAATGTCTAAAAGCCTTGGGATATATGGAGCGTGCTGCAGAGAGCTATGCAAAAGTTGTTGATCTTGCCCCGTTGCATTTGGATGCAAGAATTTCACTTTCTACACTTCAGCAGCAGCTGGGTCGGCCTGAGAAAGCTCTGGAGGCTCTGGAACCAATGTATGATCCAGATACATTGGCACAAGATGCTAATGCTGCGCAGCAGGTAGGTGAAATGCTATATAATGTGTCTTGACTCTTTTGTCCACAGTTTTTGGTGTACATAATTCTGTTATGGCAAGAGTTTATTGCTAAATGCATTTCTTTGGTAAATTTCCTCCATGGCATTTAGAGTGATTTTGTATACTCTGTAAAGACACATCGTAATTTTAACGCTGGTAAAAGATGCCAGCTTGACAATACTGGAGACTGTGGTCCATCTATCTACAGCACAGGTCACAATAGGGGTTGTGGTGAAACGTTCCCTACTGTGCTCCAGAGGGACCACCACTAGGGTCAAGAGGGTATCTCACTCTACATGTCTGTTTAATCCCGACTCCCAGTATCTAAATTCTGACTCTGATTTTTGTGTGCTGTATGACCACTTGTCCAATAGGAACTGGACTAAAGACCAGTCACTTCACATCAGCTGTCCAACAGACATTAACTTTTGTCTACTACTGATCTGATTGTAAGTGGTGACGTAGTTGATAGGTTCTGTATCCCATTTCCAATAGCTCCTCCATCGAATAAGATCTATACAGATTTTCTTCTAAATTTAAATGATGAAACAAAACAACTATTATCCGAGGGAAGTTTTGATTTTCCTGTGCTGTCCTTAAGCTTTTACTACAGTTTTCTAAGTATTGTTATTTTCTTTTTTGGTACTGATACTATACTAGCAGCCAGAAAAGTAATGTTTATAAAAACACTAAGTGTAGGTAGTGGTAGTTTATTACTTAATTAACTCTGCTCAATGTTATCTAGGAATTAAAGTTACTGCTCCATCGTTCAACGCTGTTGTATTCTCAAGGCAAAATGTATGGTTATGTGGACACTTTGCTTACCATGCTAGCAATGCTATTAAAGGTAAGTTAATTCTTGTAGCCAAGCTTTACTGGATGGGACAGACATGTCCTGTTTAAGCCAAAGGATAAATGTACTCAAAAGTATTAGAAATCTATAGAAATAATTGTAAACCGATATCTTGTATATGCAATATCATCGTTTAATATGCCTGCATCATCATCTGGTATACCTGAGTCTTTCAGAGGTGCCCCAATCAAAGCCACTAGGTATCTTTTGAGAATTAGGCCATTCATTTGTAATCAAAATAATGCTCTGTTCGGTATAAGCAGAACTTCTATTGTATGCGTTAAACTACTGATATGCCTTCTTTACGGATACTCCCTATTTGTATATGACATGTTTTTATTGGTATTTTCTCACAAGTGTCTGCATATGTTACGTTAAATGAAATATACACTAGGGTCTTTACTGGATGATTTCAAGAGTGTTTCAGGTCTATAGTATTCCTGACTATGCATAGAACAATCAGAACATAGAATCACTTTTTAATCTTTGTTAGACAGTATTGTGTTTCACGTATAGCTACCGTAAATTACACAAGCAACATAAGATGAATTAAAGTGAAATTATTTAAATAACTTTCCTTTTATGTTCTTGTTGTTCTATTCATATCATAACAAAAATATTTTTAGGTAGAATTTACTTAGTTTGCAAGTTGTTACTTTTTGTTTGTTTGAGTTTTGTTATATTCAGAGTTCCATTTTCCCAAAATTGTTACAGTTTGGGATCACAGTCACTGTACCAATTGGATAGTTGACTGTCCACCTGTTTCTAAAATCTTGATACTGGTAGCATGGCATCTTTTTTATTATGCCTCTAGGAAAGAAGTTTTGATTCGGTTATAAACAGAAGTCTACCAACCTTCATAAAATTCAACTCCTCTGGAGAGCTTTTATCCTTCTCTTTTGGATAACTCAGTCTAAACAGGAACATGAAACAATGCTAAATACAATCTTATTGTTTGTGAACAATAGTCAAGTATGCTTCTGCTTATTATGGCATAACTGATCTGAAAACTATTTTTGAACACAGCTAGAGCAAGATGTATTGGCAACAGGATGTATTCATATAATCAGAAACTTAGAATGGTTGTCCTTCATAATTGTTTCCAGGTAGCAATGAACAGAGCTCAGGTGTGTTTGATATCTAGTTCCAAATCCGGGGAGAGACATCTTTACCTTATGAAGGTGTCTAGGGATAAAATTTCAGACAGTGATGACCAAGAGACGGCAAACTGTGATGCAAAAGGTAACAGACTTAAAAAAAAATAAATCATGTTAATTTCCTACATACCAAAAGATCCTAGTATTATGTTACATTCCAAATCCTTATTCAAATATACATGACTTTATTAGATCTGTTTCACCCACATGCTTTATTCATACAGGCAGGGCCAGCTCTAGGTTTTTTGCTGCCCCAAGCATGCACAAAAAAAAAAAAAAACCCTCCCGGAATGCCGCCCCTGGAATTGTGCTGCCCCAAGCACGTGCTTGGTTTGTTGGTGCCTAGAGTCAGTCCTGCATGTAGTGCCTAATTTAGGCTCTGATCCTACAGTCTTTACTCAGATGAATAGTCTGATTGAAGCCAAGGAAATGACTTTCATAAGTAAGGACTACTTGAATGAGTAAAGGTTGCAAAATCTTGTTGTTAATATGAAAGAGAGTATATTAATGAATGAGCTACTTCCATCAAGCCAAGCTTTGCCACAAACGTTGGGACTGCACAAGCCTATATTGATGGGCTTAGGAAAATCATGTTTTCCTCTTATTTAAAAGCAAGCTAATCTAATCTGACAGGCAGATAGTATAGTCAGTACTGCTGCTAGGGGAAAAGTCTCTTTAGGCATAACAATATTTAAAAACAAAACAGAATGCTTTGTTTTCCAGCTAGATCCAAACTGTGACTGATTCAGACTTGTAGTTATTTAGCATCATCAGGTAAATGGGGAGGTTTTTAATGTGTGTTTATGTAATACTGGAGCAGCTTGAATTGCTGCTGTTTTAAATTCCCTGGAATTCTGAAGTTCTCACTTTAATGGTTATGGGTTTGTTTAAAAACCAGGTATTTCATAAATTGTGTTATGAAAGATTTCAAATACCATTGAAATGTATTCCACTATTAATGTAAAAGACTCTTTGTTTAAAAAAACAAATAAAAGTTTAGGCTGAAGTTTAAAAAGCGTGTGTGAGTGTAAGTCTTTAGCCCTTTAAGACTTTAATTTCCTTGACTGATTGTGTTTATTAATATTTTAGCAATATTTGCTGTGCTCACAAGTGTGCTGACAAAAGATGACTGGTGGAACCTCCTCCTGAAAGCCATATACTCTTTGTGTGACCTTTCCCGATATGAGGAGGCAGAGCTGCTGGTGGATTCCTCACTGGAATATTATTCATTTTATGATGATAGGCAAAAGCGCAAAGAGCTGGAGTACTTTGGTCTTTCAGCTGCAATTCTGGACAAGAACTTCAGAAAAGGTTACAACTATATCAGGTGAGAAGCACTGGACTGTAGTTGATCACAACGTTGTGTTTTTTAATGGTCTGTATAATGATTTCCATTGAGGTTGTAGTTACATTGCTGAGAACATTTGCTGTTGATGTAATAGTTAATTTCTGAATTGCGGGTGGGATGATCTTTTGTTTCTAAAAGAAACAGAATACGGTTTACTTTAAATTTGCCTTAAAAGCAGATTCATTGACTGAAACGATGGGGCTTTTTGGTGTCCTTTAATTGCAAAGCAATGTAATACAGTAGCTAGCTCTATGTGCAGTGCAGCTCTTTGGTCATCTTGATGTACATTATGAAAGTACTGTACAAGCTTTCTTATCCCAAGTTTTGTCTCTTTTACTGATCTAACGTTTACTTCTGGGAAGTCCAAAGTGAAAGAATAGTCTTAAAGCAAATTGTATCTCCTGTGGCTTCCCCTATAGACTGTTCACTCACTGATTTATTGCATATTTACATATTCAATAAACGCTTTCCGCTCACATTTTTAGGATAATGCTAATGGAAAATGTTAATAAACCACAACTCTGGAACATCTTCAATCAAGTCACCATGCATTCTCAGGATGTACGACATCATCGCTTTTGTCTTCGATTAATGCTGAAAAATCCTGATAATCATGCACTGTGTGTCCTAAATGGGCATAATGCATTCGTATCTGGTAGTTTCAAGCATGCTCTCGGTAAGGCCATCATTATACTGTACTAATATCAACAAGTATGACCTTTGGGGGTGTGAAATGTTAATCTCCTGTACTTATTTTTACCATCAAATTTCTCATATTTTGAGTGTATTTTTCAAAGTAGAGTGAATGTGCCCTTCAGGTAGGGAAAAAAATCACTATTTATTTCCTCCTTCAATAAATGAAGTACAGTTCTTAGTGTGAGTAGGCATTTTCATACTATTTAACCATTTGGTAACAGAATCTCTGAGCATTACTGAATGGACTGGCAGTGTTTCAATATTTGGTTTAAAATATATATGGTATACGTGATTTAGAAGTTTTCTAACTAACCTGCAAGAAAGATAATTAAATGATGTCACTAAGAAGGAAACAGGCCCATTTAATCAGCAGTATATGGCAAATGTGAAGTTTCAAGTGTTTGTTCAAAGGAACATTGCTGGGTTAATTTAAGAAATTGTCATCAGCCTATGCAGTGTCAGTGAAGAGCAAGTTACTAACAATACAGGTCTGTTGCATCTTACGCGCATTTAACACGCGCGATTTCAGCTTTACGCGGCCGGCAAAAACAAAAACCCCAAAAAAGGGAAAAATAACAATTTTAATACTGTACCTGTAGTGCGGGCGATTTCGCCCGCCATTCAACTCAATGTAATTTTGACTATACGCGGTTTTCGCTTAACGCGCTAACTGCGGAACGGAACCCCCGCATAAGATGAGACTCGCCTGTATAATTAAAATAAACAAGAAGTTGCCATTTTGCCAGTCTCCTTATATAGATTAGGGCAGAGGAATTTCAGGTTCTGATAGCAACCACTCGAAGTCCAAAGTTGTGAAATTAGTTCGTGGTCTCAGCACAGTTCTTAATGCATATGAATCCACATAAAAAAAAAAAAATCAACATCCTGTTTGGAACTCCTTTTGTAATTCTCAGTAGAGTGACCAAGGACTGACTGGTCCTGGAGCTTGAACCCACCCTCCCACTCTTAAGAGTGGTACCTCAGGTTAGTGTTGAGGCACACTGGAGGTGGTCAAGTGGGAGGTCTGTATTGCCACTATCCATGTCTTACCTGTATTGTGGATAACCATAGAAGGCAGCCAGAATGTTCAAAGTAACTACTGATTTTGAGTGCCTCCATTTTTGGATGTCTAACTTGAGAGACTTCAAATGGGTCTGACTTTCAGAAAGTGCTAAGCACCCACTCTCTGAAAATCAGGTGCCTTTAAAGTATCTAAAGTTGGGCACCCAAAATCACCTACTCTCTTTCGAAAGTCTTGGGTGAGATCCTTGTCCTGTTGAAGTCCGTGAGAGTTTTGCCATTGACTTCAGTATTTCACCCCTTCTTCTTATTCTTCACAAGGCTGACTGTTTGACATCTTTCTCAGCACTAATATTCAAGAAAAAGAAAATGTGCGGAATGAACCTTTTGAAATTAAAATTTGTGTTCCATTAGAAAGTGGCATTTTCTTTATAAAATGACAATAGGAAAATAAGATGTTTCTTTCTTGTCAAGTAACCACAAGGCACTCAATCAGAAACATTGACCATGTTCTGAATTATGATAGTCTTTACTCTTTCATCTAAAGAGCATTAACCAGGCTTTAAAATAAATATGCAGGAGAGGCCTAGATCTTTAGTTGGTGTAAATCAGTTTATACCATCTGGGGCTCTGGCCCACGAACTCTATAACAAAATTAGTTAATTTCACACTTTGTTCATTGTACACATTCAGTACATACCATTTAATTTCTTTTCTGCTTTTAAATAATGCAGATCTTTATTATTATAAATGTTTTGTTTTTAATATGCTAGAAGCAACCAGTTCATCACCTGGTGTAAATGATCATAGCTCCATTGACATTAGTTAAGCTATGACAATTTATACCAGTTGAGGATCTGCCCCAGGTGTCTCAAAAGAAAATCCATTAGAAAGCAGTATACACCAAAAGTCTAAAGAACTTACTCATGATGTTTCAAAAGATATTGTTGCTGTTGCACCTTGCCACTCTGAGCTCCAACCCCAACAAGACCCTCTTTCTCCACTCTCAGTAAGTCTTTGTTTTTATTCTGAATGTTAAGTGTGGTATCTGAGAGCTGCTGAAAACATGAGAGCTGCTGCAACTCCTATTCTCCCTCTTTCCTGCTTTGATGCAGTCATTTTGAAATCTGATTCTCTTTCTTGTTTCCTTCCTTTTTTCAGTTCACACTTCCAAAAAAGTGTTGGGTTTTTTTGAAAAAAATGAAACCCAGTTTTAGAGAGAGTGTGTCAGATCATTTACTCCTGTTTCTCCTAGGACAATATGTGCAAGCCTTCCGTACTAACCCAGATGAACCTCTGTACAGCCTTTGCATAGGCTTAACTTTCATCCATATGGCATCTCAGAAGTATGTGTTAAAAAGACATGCTCTTCTTGTACAGGTGAGTTATTTTGTTCTTCTTTGTGCATAGCACATGGTGTCATTTAGTTCTGTCATGGCTCACACAGTTACAGCTCTGACACATTATTAGAGCTGATTGACATTTAAAAAATAGATTTAGGGTAGGATTTTCAAAACCCTCCAAGTACCTTAGGAACACGTGTCCCAACGACAGTCAGCTTGTGCTCCTAAGTCATTTCAGTTCTTGAAAATCTCCCCTTTGTGAATAAAAGCAATTCAGTTCATTTTGTTGTGACTTGGGGAATATTTAATTATTTGCATATATTTAGGCAGCTGCCATGTATTCATGAAAATATAAATAATTTCAGCTTCACTAGCTTTAATATGGATGTTTATTCATCTGACCCTTGTGCTGGAAGTGAAGCATTCACTACTCTGGTTTTTAAAAACAAGAGTCCCTTACCCAACCAGGGAGCAGGAACACCACCAAATGACTTAGATGACTAACCACGAATAATGTAGCTGAAGCAAACAGTTCACAAATAACCATAGGTTGAACATTTTGTCCAAAATATTTGCTGAAAACCTACAAATGAAGGGACGCTCATGGGAAGATCATCATTCCGGACTGATTCATGAATGATTCATTAAGCAAAACGGGCTAATTCCTAGAGAGCATAATAAATAGTTTGACAGCTCTACCAACTGTACAGTAGGGCTGAGAGTCAAATAACTGTTCTTCACTGAGCACTTTGAGATTGATGTGTAATGCATGGGAGAGTGTTAATCAGTGAGCAATCCCTAGTAACTCGTTAAGGGCTTGAGCTCACAAGATGCTGAGTGCCCTCAATTCCCATTGATGCAGCATTGGGCCCTGTGAATGATTTGGACTGGTCTGTAACGATCCAATTGAGGAAATCTTGTGCTGTTTATCCTGAAGGCATTAGGGACCATGGCATAATGGCATAGACGCCGACTCCGTGGGTGCTCCGGGGCTGGAGCACCCACAGGGACAAATTGGTGGGTGCTCAGCACCCACCGGCAGCTCCCCGCCCAGCTCGCCTCTGCTCCACCTCCTCCCCTGAGGACACCGCATGCCCGCTTTTCCCCCCTACCTCCCAGTGCTTGCCGCTGCGAAACAGCTGTTTTGTGTGGCGGGGAGGAGGGGGAACATGATGCGCTCAGGGAAGAGGCAGGGATTTGGGGAAGGGGTTCAATAGGGGCAGGGAGGAGGCGGAGTTGGGGTGGGGACTTTGGGGAAGAGGTTGGAATGGGGGCGGGGAAAGGGTGGAGTCGGGGCGGGGATGGGGACGGGGTGGGGTGCAAGCATCCACCGGCTCCGGGGAAAGTTGGCGCCTATGCAAAATGTTATTAAAGTGATTTAACTTTTGATATACTGCAATGGCTCTGCTCAGTTGTATAACTGGCTTGCAAGTTTTGTACAGGAAAGTGTGTGGATAATCAGCTGTGCATAAGATCACTATGGACAAATTGCCTATGAAATTTCATTTCTTAACCTAAGCCCGTGAAGAAAATGGCATTGATTTAATTAAAAAAAGTAACAAACTAATTTGCATCTGGATATTCAACCTTATAAGTCAAATTTCAACCCACATTCTTTTTCTGAAGATATTGCAGCTACTGTCTGTTTTTAAAATATGACACACATTGAAAGTGCTAATCACTGTTCTTTCTCCTGGATCCCTGTATTCAAATTTAGGTTAATTACCTTGAAGGTTTACACGGATTCCTGGATTTGCATGGCCCACAAGGAGACTCCCTTCTTGGATTGCAGCTCCAGCACAACCCACCCTATCTTTTTCCACCTTCAACCAGTCCCGTTTCTTCATGTCCTCACCTGCCAGACAGTTGGGGCTGAACAGCCCCACACTGGATCTGAAGCTTGTGGATCAGGCCCATTTCTTGTGCTGGCACGATCGTGATTTTCTTCATTATTTCTAATCCCTTCCTCGGAAAATCCAGTTTTTTAATTCCCTCTACTCCTCCTCCCTTTACCTTTCAGTGAACCAAATGAGGCTAAGAGCTAGGGCCAACATATTCCACTTCGGGGGCATGAAGTTAGGCACCTAAATAAGGGGCCTGATTTTTAGAAGTGCTGAGCACTTACAGCTCCCTTTAATTTCAGTAGGAGTTGCAGGTGCTGAACAACTCTAAAATCAGAGCACTTGTTTAGATGCCGAGCTTTAGGCATTCAAGTTTGCATACTTTGGCCTAATTTTAAATATGTTTAACCACTTTTTTTCTCCGTAATAATCCATCCTTCCTGTCTGTTGCTGACGGTCTCCTAAGAATATACTTGAAAAATGTCACCCTCCAAAGATGCCTTTCTTTTTGTGTCTCTGCTTTTCTCATTTTGTATTCACCCATGTTGAGGGTTTTTAATCTTTGCTTGCTTCTAAGTTTGTTTGTTCAGTAGTTCACCCAGACAGTGACCTAGTGGTGACCCTAATTATCATGATTAGCTGTTAGAGTCTGAGCTAATTCCTTACTGTTGAATGAGCTATTTTCTCTGATTATCAATAGTAGCTGAAGAAATCAAGCCCTCTGGTTACAGCAGAGGCTGCACATTCCTGTGTCATCAAAATGAGACATAACTCTTGTAATTACTATACAGTAATTTGTGTTCCATTTTCCGCCTCCTCCTGAACCCAATTTGATTTTTCCCAAGACTCTTCCAATTGAAAAAGAGAAATACTGTGGTGAATTTTAATCTGAAAATGATTGTGTTGAATGTGTTCTCTTTGGGAGGTGACTCAGGTCCTAACACCATTCACCTTTATAGCACTGTACAGACATTAGCTAATGAATGCTCACAGCAACCCTGTGAGGGAGAGAGGCAGGCAAGTGTATCATCTCTCATTTTATAGATGAGAAACTGAGGCACGGAGGTTGAATGACTTTACCAAAGTTACATAGCAAGTCAGTGGCAGAGGTGGTGGTAGGGATGGGGGCAGTAGATCCTTCTGAATGGGGGGCAGAGGGATAGGAGGGAGAGCAAGGGGAATTACCCAGTGCTCGGGACGGAGGCAACGCGCAGAGCCTCGTGGCCCCCCTGCCTAGAAGCCGGACCAGCTGCTGGCCACTTCCGGGGCGCAGCGCGGTGTCAGAACAGGTAGGCACTAGCCTGCCTTAGCTGGGCAGCAACGCCGACGGGACTTTTAACGTCCCGGTTGGCGGTGCTGACCAGAGCCGCTAGGGTCCCTGGGTGCTGAGCAAGGCGACCCAGTGCCTTACATGCCGCAACCCAGTGCTGAGTCACGACCCGAACTTTGAAAAACACTGGTCTAGTGGCTAAACCTCCGGACTGGGGGAATTGTAAGTTTTAGCTCTGCCAGAGTTGGGTTCCTGTGGGGAAAACTCTCATTGGCTCAGTAGAAGCATGATTAGACCCTTTGTCTTTTTATTTAGGATATGTGAATTATCCATTACTTTACCCTGAGCTGTTTGTTCCTGCCCTTTTAATTTTTTTTATTGGCTAAGTTGCAGATTTTCATCTGCCCGCAACTGGTAACTGTGTGAAGTTAACTGGTATTGCAGGAGTTTTACAGGGAGCACTAAGGTGTGGGGTGAATGCATTTGTATTCCAGAAGTAGTACTGTGATGTATTAAGGGCTTGAAGCTAGTAAAGGCTTTATTTAACTATTTTTTCTTTGATGCCATGAAAAGAAGAGGTCTGAAATAGTAATTCAGATTAATGTAGGGCAGGTGTGACGGGTTGGATCCCCCTTCTGGGATGCCACCTGATGTACCGGGATTTCACTGAGCCCGCAGGCTCCACTAGCCTGGTCCTCCTTTCCCTCTGTCTTGCTGAATCAGGCTCTCTGGCCTCTTGCAGCACACACACAGGTAGGGAGCACAGCTGTAGAATCACACAGAGTCTGCAAACAGCTCTCTATGGGAAGATTCAGCTAGGAAATTGCCCAGCACTCAAGTGCAGCTTCCCTCTGGAAAGTAAACCCAAGATAATATCGTCTTGTGCTGTCTAGAAAGATCTGCACAGCGCAAGCTCATAAAAATTCGCTCTCTCCCTCAATGTGGAGAGAGATATGCACAGCTCCACCCCCCCATATGAATTGCACAAACTGGGTTACGTTATAAACAAGAAATAAGTTTATTAACTATAAAAAGTAAATGTTAAGTGATTATAAGGGATAGCAAACAGAACAAAGCAAATTACTAAGCAAATAAAACAAAACACTCATACTTTAAAATCTTAAAGAAACTGGTTTCAAGAAGTAATTTCTCACCCTAAATGCTGCTTTTGGGGCAGGTTGCAGAAATTCTTGAAGGTTAGCTACCATGATTGTAGCTTAAATCTTCAGGCATCTTATTCACAGACTAGATCCCTTTTCCAGCCTGGGTTCAGTACTCCTCCCCCTTTCCCTTTGTCCTTGTTCCTTAGGTGTTTCCAGCAGTCATCCTGGGTGGGAATTCAGTGAAGAGTGAACCAAGATCAATTTAATCCCCAGCTTTAAATAAGATTTACATAAGGCGGGAATCTTTTGTTTCCCAGTCTTGACCTCTCCTTCCTTTTAGTGGAAAATTACTAGAAGTCCAAGATGGTGTTTTGTACCAGGTGACAGGACCACCTGACCTAGTAATGTCACAGCTAGTCCCAGGACACCTCTCAGGAAGGAGAGAGATTAGTATCTTCAAAAGTCTTATTGTTTCTTCCTAATGGCCCATCAAAGGTGATGGCCTGTTGTGTAGTGGGTGTCTCCCAAATGCACACACAGTTGTAATTGTTACATAGTCAATATTCCTAACTTTAGATACAGAAATGATACATGCATATAAATTGGATAATCACATTCAGTAAATTATAACCTTTCCGATGATACCTTATAAGGCCCATAAAATACACCTCTACCTCGATATAACGCTGTCCTCGGGAGCCAAAAAATCTTACTGCGTTATAGGTGAAACCGTGTTATATCGAACTGGCTTTGATCCACCGGAGTGCGCAGCCCCGCACCCCCGGAGGACTGCTTTACCGCGTTATATCTGAATTCGTGTTATATCGGGGTAGAGAGGTATATCTGTTATGCCATATCCATATCATAAGCATATTTCCATAAATAATATGGGGTGTAACGTCACAGCAGGTTCAAATTCAAATGGGGATAAAGGGGGGTGGGGTGGGCAACTGTTTAAAAAAAATAGTAGACAAGAGGTGGGGGTTCTAAAGCGTAATAGGTATGGGGTTAAACAAACAATCTCATTGTATCCCTTTGTTCCTCCTTTCCTTTTGTCTCTCTATTTAGATGGTAAGCTCTTCAGGGCGCGGGCCTGTCTTACATGTCTGTAAAATATCTATTAAAGTAGAGTGCTATAGAAATAGTAATAATTCTGAACAACTTTGCACACAGCTTATCAAAAGATCTGTCTGTTGTCTTCACCCTGTGAGACGCTGAGGCCACAAAGCATCTCCTCTGTTGGTCTAGTGTGTCAGGGAAAGTGGATGGCTAGTTTTTACATTTGGTCTTAAATTAGGCAGTTATATTTATGGGCAAAAAACTCTTTTTGCACATAAAACATGCTGCTTTATTGTTTTACAAAAAATAAAGCTTCCAATGTATGTTTTGTGCATAGGGATTCTCTTTCCTTCACCGGTACCTGGGCCTCCGTGGACCGTGCCAAGAATCTTTCTATAACCTAGGCCGTGGCCTTCATCAGCTGGGATTAGTGCATCTGGCAATCCATTATTACCAAAAGGCACTTGAGCTTCCTCCTCTCATCTTAGAGGTATCATATGGTTAAACATTTGAACTATAAAAGTAAAATCAGATCAGCATTACTAATATGTTTTAACCAGAAGTAAAACTAGTGCACGAGTGTCTAGTTTATATTTGCAATATAATTTCATAGGCACTAGAGAAAGCACTTGATTTATCATCTGAGCTGTATTTATGAACATGTATAACTCAAATTGCTCAGGTAATGATTGTCAGGTTTATTTTATTATCTGGCTGGGTGTAGCAACTGCAAGAAAATGGTTGCTGAAGAACTTTGCCACCTGAATAAAGAAGTGTACATAAGGTCCATTTTAAAAGCCAGAATAATATTAAATATAACTGGCATTTTCTGTTTCATGAGTATGAAGGTTTAGTATAAAAATACAGAATTACAATATAACTATCTGAATGTGGTGGGAATGAACTGAGCACCTAGATGATGTAGAACTTGCCCCATGTATGTTATTGCACTGATTTTATGTTTTTTAATGTAATTTATGGTATAGTATTCATGCAAGCTAGTAAATGATTTTTTAATTCTTCCAGGGAATAGAAGCTGATCAGACAGACTTGCGAAGAGATGTTGCCTTCAACTTGTCACTAATTTATCAGAGCAGTGGAAATTTAAGAATGGCTCAAAAGTTGTTGTATACATATGGAATCGTATGATGGAGTTTGTGGCACCTGTTTGTGACTAAGAGGTAGCCTGCTAGGAAAATAACATTTGTCATTTCCACTGGGGCATTGAGGATCTCAGGCATTACACACCAATGGAAAGACCCATTCAAAAAGATATGTACATATTTTTTCTAAACTGATCTAGATGTGATTGGATCAGAGTTGTTAGTTACTGTATATATTTTGTTTCCTGAACTTTTGAGCTATATTTTCCATTTCCTGAGGTTGGAACTGTAAAATGCCCCGATACAACCAAAGTTCAACAAGCAGGCTTTTGTGAGCAGATTCTCCAGACATACTTAGATGTTGGTCGAGCACCTTATTGATGAGTTTTTGTGACGCCTGAAGTTGGTGCTGGTACACAGAATTCTCAACTGAATAAAGGACTAAAAATGATGTGCACATTTTTTTGGAGAAGATTTTTAAAAAGTAATTTAACTGGCTACTGTCCAAGTTCAATTCTGGCAATTGGTTACATTTGCCGTGTACTGTACAAAATTGTTACTATTATATAGGAGAGGGAAGACTGAAGAAATGGGCTTGAGGGGCGGGGGAAGATATAAGCCGAACACCCCCCCAGACCATAGATGCTCTTGGATTCCTGAGGGAATTTTTCCAGAGAGACTTAATGTTACAAATAACTGCAATTGCAAGACCTTTAAAGTACTTAAAAAGGATGATAAGGATTCCTGGAAAAATATTTTATTTCATCGCAAGCTGTGTCTGTTTAAGAAAAGTAATTTTCTTTTATTAGTAAATCAGTGTCACATCAGTAAAAGGTATCCATTTTCTGGAGTATTGTAAATTGGTCTAGTAAAGATCTTTAGTTATTTATGAAATCAACAGTCATTTAAATAACTTATTCTCAGCAAAGACAAACACACAAAAAAAGTCCTAAGTTGTTTAGTGGGCTAAACATTTGTTAGTGTAATAACCTACAGCCCATTATCTTCCTGTACTAAATAATTAAATATTGAGAGAGAGGTGCTGCAAATTCTGTATATTGCTTTGCTAATCAAGAATGATAATTCCAATTATACAGGTGTCATATATGTTACTCTTTTCCAGCAGAGAAATAACCTCATGCTGGAAGTGATGATGATAGCCCTATCTCTGAAACTTGTCTTCAGTAAGATTTGTTTTAAAAGCCTTTGTAGCATTACAACACTAAATTTTGGTATGTGTAGTACTTTGAGCTGGCCCAACTAATTAAAGTTTAGTGGTAACACAAATTCTATTAGATAACACATTAGTTAGTTTGGTGGTATCATGCATTAAATCTCAGCCACTTGTTACAGCTCTTGAAGAAAATTGGAACAATGGTCTTGCCAAATTCTCTGTTCCTGGGGAACCAAAATATAATTTGTTTATATTAGATCAGATGATGAGATCAAATGGTCAGATAAAATGACGACACATACATACTACTATTGAAAGTTTGCTGTTCACTAATCAACACATTAAAAAAAAATCACACAATCTGTGGATTTCTAATGTGCTGAAGGTAAGAGAAAATGACTTGTGTTTTGGAGGATAGGTCATAACTGACCAGCATTTATAGTATCCCACATATTATACTTTCTTCCCCAAAAGTCAGCTTTAATTCTGCTATTTTCTAACTTGAATGCTAGACTTTGCAACCTTAATTTGGCTCCCTTTTTTGTGTCAGTATGATAGTCTCTAATTTTATGATCAGATACTGCTTTTTCCACAACTTTATTCAGTGCACAGGACGGATGGTACTCAAGGAATTAATTGGATCCAAAACATGAATGCACGGAAGTTTCTCAGAGAAACTTGTTACATTGTTTTTCACAGGTTAAAATTCCCCCCCCCCCCCCCCGCATTCTCGTAAATGGCCACACTGCTTTTGCTAAAACTAAAAGAAAATCAGCCGGAGGCGGAAACCTTTAGCTTTAATGGTTGGCAAAGTTGTAAGCAATTGATAAGTGGCTTAGAATGGAAAAAATTGTTAGGCAACTTTAACTGTAGTTGCTGCCAGCTCTGACATTCCTTTTCCAGTTTAATGTAAGAAAATAACTTGTAGACAGTTCTGTATCAAATAATAAATTATTACAATATTGGGCTTAATTACCTGGATATTCTTGTTCTTAGTTATTAGCGTGTGCTTAGATACTGTAGTGAGGGGTAACTTGGACATCCCTAGAAGGTTGTTTACAAAAGTGTCCTCAAACCCTAACCACAAATGTGTTCTGTCTGAGTGATACTGGGAATGACCATTAGAAAGCTGCTTGCTATCAGCACATGTATGTACATTCAGTGAAGGCTGTGGATCCAGAGTAAGGGCTGACAATGTCTCATGTTGTGTAATACTATAGCTCTATAAGTGAGCATATTTTTATTCAATTTTGCCATCTTCCAAATATTACTGAGGTAGAAAATGTTTATTTAGTAGAAATTTCACACTTCCTCTAGCTATTTACCGTGGCAGCTCATCGTTCTTATCCTGATTATCCACTTACAGTATGGCAGTGTCAATGAAAGGTGTACATCTATCTACTCCTACCAATAGTCAGCAGGTGGTGGTAAAGTTACGGTCTGAATTTAACTCGGCCGACTACAATGAAAATAAAGCGATCTCAGCTGTCGTGTTGTCCCCTTTGACAATTTTTAGAAAGAGTTGGGTGCATTTGGAAATCCCACCACATGAAACAGAGTTAAAAAATTACATTCCATGGCTTTCAAGATGGTGTGCGCTCCTACCTCCATTAAGTGCGTGGGAAAGTCCAACTCATAGCTGTGTACTGTGAGACAGTACCTAATAAGAAAAAAGCTGTTTTAATGGCAGGTCAGTGCAGGGTGGCAGCCTGCCAGGGAATAGCTGTGCCCTGCAGGAAAGGCTGGTTGGTGACTGGAGCTGGTATTCTTCCTTCAGTGTCAGTAATCAGTGCCCCAGGATAGTACTAGGAGCATCTCTTCTCATTCAGACACAAAACAGAGCTCCTGCCCAAGCCCAGGGTGCTGTCTGTAAGAACAGCATTAACCATACTGTTCCTGTAAAATTCAGGTAATTGCATCCTGCCTTTATCAATTTGCTATGCAGTTGCGATAAGCTGTGATATCCTTACTTCCTGTCATGCTACTCCTCAAACCTCGCCACGATGAAGGGAGTATTCAGCAAAAACTATTCAGTGAACAACAAGGCATTTCCCTAGTCCTTTGTCCCATCCTCTGGGCTTTACTGTAGCAAGTATATAGCCCATAGTTTGTTAGTGGTTAGGATGGAAAGCACTACAGCAGTGTAAGTATTACTCTATGCTTAGACTGCACTTAAGTCTCACCACACTCAATCCTAAACATCTCAGGACAAGTGCTTATCGTGGACTTCTTTAAAAGAAATAATAGGTTTCATGCACCATGGATGAGAATGACAAACTGCAAATACTGTAGTAATTAAAGCAGATTTAATGACTATTTAAATACAAAGTCAGCAGATTAGATAACTATACACAGCAATTATACACACAGCACTCTAGTGCCCTGTATCTGTGAAAAGAAGGTCTGATGAAAGAAGGAATCCATGCCCACTAATCACTAAACAGCAGCTCCTTGGTACCACCAATTCCTACGACAGGAAACTGGATGGTAGTATGTGGAGCTGTCTTCCCCTGCCACTGGACCATACCTCATAGCATCTCTTTCTAGACGAAGGGCAGTGTGTGTTGTCATTAACAGTTAGCCACATAGCTTAACTAGATCAAATAGATGCAGTGTGAGATAAGGCAGCCAGTGCCATGCTAGGTTGGTTTCAGGCTCTGCCTACAGCTTGGTGCTAAAGTTGGCAGAGTTAGACTACACTACTGATACTGACCTGAGAGGAGAACAGGGCTCTAGAACAGAATCCTACACATAGGCTCATTTTAACCCCGCCACTCAGAAGTGATGTGGCGTGCAGAAACTCAGCTCGCCATGGGGAGGAGGAACATAAGGTGTATTGAAGGCTTCTGCTACTTAGGCTTGGTCTACACTTACCCCCCAAGTCGAAGTAAGGTACGCAAATTCAGCTACGTGAATAACGTAGCTGAATTCGACATACCTTACTTCGAACTTACCGCGGTTCAGACGCGGTCCACACGCGGCAGGCAGGCTCCCCGTCGACTCCGCGGTACTCCTCTCGTTGAGCTGGAGTACCGCAGTCGATGGCGATCACTTCCTGGTTCGATTTATCGCGTCCAGACCAGACGCGATAAATCGAACCAGGAAGTTCGATCCCCAGCCGCCGAACTACCGCGGCAGTGTAGACCAGCCCTTAGGAATTTCAGCACCATAACTCTTTAGGATTTAGGGCCTGAGCCAAAGGCTACTGAAGTTAATGAAAGATACCTATTAGCTTTAAAGAGCTTCCAATCAGGTGCTTAATCACTAAGGGTCTGATCCTGTTTTCACTGATGTCAATGGCAAAATACCCATTGACAACAATAGGGGCAGGACCAGGCCCTAAAATAATGGTTCAGGCTGTTGTCGTACAAACCTAATTATGCTATAAAGGTAGGTATATAAAATGGGTGGAATGATTGTTATTTGCCAAGTCCCAGCAATATGCTTGGCCCTGTACACACCACAGAGGAAGGCATGGCCTCTGCCCCACAGAGCTTCAAACTAGCCTCACAGAAACAAATGGATCAGACAACTGGAGGAAGCTTAGGAAACAGCACTGCAATTATTAAATTAAAATTAGGTGTGTAACAGCACATCTGATGTAGCTGGGTTACACTGTAAGCTGAGGCAGACGAAGTTTTAAGGAGGGAATCTGAGCTACTCCTAAGTGCTCATTAATTGAACAGTGGATGAAAATTGTTTCTGTATCGTAAGGGAATGGTAGTTAGTCTTAACGTGCTGCAACTACGGGTGTACAGCACCTGCTCTGGACACCTCCTGCCCTTTGGGAAGCTTGTTCCAAGGTGGGGCAGAATTAACCTACTCTATTAATCACATGGGTACCAATGGTGCAAGGTGTTCTACCTGGCAGCCTCTCACACCCACATGGTGCACCTTCCAGCAATGGAGCCTTGGGCAAAGACAGGGCTCTTGCAATTGCCCAAGGGCACTGTCCTCTCAGGGCCCAGGCCCAGGCTCCTTTTACTGCTACTAATGGTAGCTATTCCCATCAGCTAAGAAGGGATTCTCCCTGTACTGGTCAAGCAACCACCAGTATCCAACAGTGGACAACTGTCCTATTTCAGCAAGTTTACCATCACCAGCCTAGGAATCCAGGAGACCATTCTCTGGATAGGCAGAATCCCTGCATAGCAATCTGAGCTCTCAATAATAATGATGCCTCCTCACTTTGCAGGGCTCATTCCAACCCACTACCCTCCTCTTGAGCTGCTAAAACACAAATGAGAGATGTGACTGGCGACATAGATCCAGAACGTAAACTTACTTGTATAGGAAGCTTTAGAGAGAGGAATAATTTCTTTGCTATAAATTATGGTTCCATGATGAAGCATTTAAGCAAACTAGTCACACTCAAAGACCATGTTAGGATGGGGAAAATGGAAATCTGCCTCACAAAATGATACATTCTAGTATGTGTCAGACAGGTGAGATTTATAAGCTAAGCTGAACTGTAGTACACAATTTAAATTAATATTCCAAAACCTGCCTGCACTGGTCTTCTATCAGCCAGCCAGTCAATGTGCATTTTATTTGAAGGGTCTTCTTCACTGATACAGAGCAGACGCAGTTCATACAGGACCTCTGCTTATAGACACTTAAAAATCTTCTGAAATATGCAGCTGCTTATAGATCAAGATACTTCAACCTTAGGGCTCATCTTCCAGCATGTGAAGATCTGGTCTGAACTGTGGTGTTCACAGGTGCAGGGTGGTATGGCAGCCTGGAATCTCCTGGGTTAGATGACATCACTTCCTGTCTAGCTCTGATTGGTACTTCCTGGAGATGAGTTTGAGCTGCTGTTTAGTCTCCCACCGATTCAGGGAGGCTTGGCTAGGGAGTTTCACAGCTTTTTCCTTCTCCGTCTGTTAAAGGACAGGGTACTGGATGAAAACTGATCTATCCCCTCTCATTCCCAATGAACAACAGCAGAAAATACAGAGATTGCAGCAGCTCAAGATACATCTTTAGAGGCAGGTCAAACAGCTATCTGGGAATTGCCACAGCTGTAACAAAGGCTCTGAGATCTCCATACAAAACAAGGTAAGGAGAACCGTCTTTACAGAACTGTTTGGATGAGTGGTGGGGAGAATGGCGGCAGTCATGGAGAAAAGCAAGAGAGGAAGGCACACTAGAGCCACTCATTTTCAATACAGTTTTTTGGGTCAGAGCTTAATCAGAAATAAAATATAGCTGGAGAGAAGCAGGACATGGATAATGGAGAGAAAGGGGCTCCCTCGTTCCTCTCCTGTCCCCACCTGTCCCTAGTAGGTTAAACAACTGTCATTTACCCACCAAATAAGCACATCCTGTGAAACATCAGCAAGAAGTGAGAGAACAAACTAAACTTCTAAACCTTTGTCCAGGGGCTTACTCCTTTGAGAGTGTTTTCCTGCTCCAAGGAGATGCTAGTTGGGCTGAGAGAGGTGTGGGCTGATGGGAACTGCAGAAATCAATAGGGCTTAAGAAACCAAAATTCTGATTGTCACCTTTAACCTGCTAAAGAAATGAGATAGGAAAGAGGGGA